CAGCGCTCAATAACCCGCCAAGCCGGGCTAGCCGAAGTGACATTCATTTTTCCCACAAAGACATCAACTGCTCTAGCTTGTCTGGAAGACAATGAAAGAATTGTGCCTCAACGGGAGGTCTCTGCTGATGGACCTGCGAGGAGGTACGCAGCTATTCATGGCTAGTTGCAATTCACGTGAGCGTGCCCCGCTTGAAGAAGATGTGCCCAAGAAAGAACTACGCCTTTCCGATTGTGAGCATGGATGTTCGCGATGAGGCTTTTCTCATTCTCGTGCGGTATGTGCTCTCCAACTTCCAAGCATACCACCCAATCAGAGACTGCGACATTCGTGGGATAGCCAAGATTTGCAAACTTCACGTAACCTGCAGGGCCATCAGGCTTGACTGTCAGGATTGTTCGACAACTGTGTGTGTGGGGCCAAGCCAAGGAATGTGCAGGGGTTCGTTGGCACATTGTTACTTGCTGATGCAAGCAGGGTTTCTTTTGGGTTCGTGCAAACTTTTCGGGCAAAACTGTTTAAATGACAAACGCCCCACGCTTGGCAATTGGTAAACTTGAGGGGCGGGTGCACGAAAGATAGCCAGCCCAACAACGGCATGTGCGACCCAGTGGTTTCATTCCAAGATGCCAAAGGTGGCAAGCTTAATGTTGGACCTTGTTTAACCCCAGAAAGTCAAGGCAGTGCTCAAGGGATTTATATGGGTCTGGCAGGGAGCTTGGATGACTTAAGTATTGCCAACACTTCCTGTTGGATTGCCAGAACTTAGTTTAATATTGCCTCGTCTAATTTAGTCTTGCCAGGACTTACTTACTCTCAGATTCCCAGTGCTTGATTAGTATTGCCGAGTTCAAATTCAGTATTGCCAAAACTTAATGTTAGATTCCGAGCACTTGGCTGAGTATTGCTTAGCCCTAAACAGTCATGTCAAACAGGATCACTGGCTCCCGCGGGCACCCCCTTTGTGTGGCTGGTTTGGGGACCACTTGCAAAATGGATTTCCGAAAGGTTTTACCATACAGGTGCTGCGTCTCTCTCTCTCTCTCTCTCTCTCTCTCTCTCTCTCTCTCTCTCTCTCTCTCACCCTCTCTCTCTCTCTATCGCTCCCTCCCTCCCTCCCTCCCTCCCTCCCTCCCTCCCTCGCTTGATGCGGCTCGTTCCTTTTAATTCCTCTCCTCCAGTGTACTCTTCCACGTTCCCTGCTCCATCATAGCCATAGTAGCGCAGATTGCTGTGCTCCGCTTTGAGAGCATGCCCGAGCTGTCCAACACCAGCTCCCAGATCTGTTACTGACTCACCTGGGCGATGCGGATACCAACAATTGCGATGACTGATGAATCGCGTCATCACTCCCATTTTGTTTATTTTTATTTTTTCCGTTTTTCGTCCGGGCCAGCAACTGTCGTATTTTACAGCATTTTCTCGCGAAATTGACGTATTTTGCACCAGCCAGTCAACATCCCCAGCATCGTTTTCAACATCCCCCGCATGTCCGGCCAACATCCCCAGCATCACCAACAAATCGTGGTAACATAATCTAAAAAGTAGTTGGCGCGTTGATGGGGTCGAAAAAAATATGATTTAAATAGGAGGGCGTGTCAATCCCTGTAAACAAAATCAAAACAGTAGCGGGCGGGTTGGGGGGGCCCATGATGATTGCAGAAGTGATGATTCGAATAGGAGTGCAATCAAATCGCTGCAAAAAGTCTAAAAAGTAGCGGGGGGTTGGGGGGGGGGAACCTTTGCAGGATGTTCGAAGAAGGGATGATTCAATTAGGGGTGCAATTAAATCTCTGTAGAAAATCTAAAAAGTAAGGGGGGTGCCCCCAAGATGTTCGAAGAAGCGATGATTCAAATAGGGGTGCAATGATTCAAGCAAGGGTGCGATAGAGGCAATAGAAAAAAAGCAGCGGGAGGGTTGGCGGGTGTGGCTTCCCCTATGATGTTCGAAGAAGTGCATACATACAGACATACATGCATTACATAGTTTACATAAAATGCTGTATTTTACAGCATTTTCTCGCGAAATTGGATGCTCGAAAAAGTGATGATTCAACTAGGGGTGCAATTAAATCTCTGCAAGAATCTAAAAAGTAGCGGGGGGGTTGGGGGGAGGCGGCGGCCGCCCCCCATGATGTTTGAAGAAGTGATGATTCCAACAGGGGTGCAATTAATTGCGGGGGGGAGGAAGCCCCCCCATGATGTTCCAAGAAGTCATGATTCAAATGCGGAGGATCTGGTGATGCTGAGGATGCGGGAAGCCAAAGCCAAAAAGCCCGGAGAGGAACTGGGAAAGCAGAGGATGCTAAAAGCCAAAGCACCAACAAGCCGAAAAGACAAGAAGCCGACCGAGAAGCCAAAAAGCCAAGAAGCCGAAAATCCAAGAAGCCACAAGCGAAAAGAAAATCAAAAAACAAAACAAACAATCCTGAAAAAATACTTCTCGTCCCCTTCCCTCCCCTCCAACCAATGTCTTGCTTTGGCTTGCAAGCAAGCGCCTTTAACGAAGCAGCCTCCTTTTGAGTGTCTTGTTCCAGTTGAATGTTGTTGGCAAAGAAATAACGCAAGCCTTCCGCCCAGTCACTGTCCTTCAGCACCAGCTTTGCCAGGCCTGACGCGAAGCCTGGCTCAACCATGACATGATGTTTTGGCAGCCAAAAGTCTTCGTCAACGGCAGAACTTTGTGTTGAAATCAGCCGCTGCCCCTCCTCCGTGTAGCAAAATCCGCCGGATTCCAAAACGTCCTCTCCACTCTGACAACGTGCACGTCCGGCGGCATGCTGCTTTTGCAACACTGCGCTATTCGTGGCTTTGTCGCCAACCAGGGATTCGATTTCTGCACGGTTGTAGTCTTGGGGCCAGTCAGCGTCCCAGCCATACAATGAAGCGGGCTTCATGAGGTGCAGCAGGCTGGAAGGATCGCAGTCTTCTGTTCCTGCAAACGCCATAACAATCCACGCAAAGGCCGCGGGCCACAGCATTGCTCAGGATAGTTCGGTGGGCGCTTGGATCACTGAAGCCAAGATGACTCGTGTCGGGCTATGGTGACAGTTGATGCCTGATAATGGATGCGTGCTCCCTTTCCCTTGGCCTAAATTGAGCACAAACGTGGGCATCATGAGCTCATGCCCGGTCCGCATCGTCGTAGCCTTCTGGTGGCGGCGGTCTGGCTGCCGGCTCCGGCGCACATGGCGCGGAGGGCGTGGACGGGGTGTCCAACATGCCCTTCGCACGCAGCGCCGCAATGCGCGTAGCCTCTGCTGGGGATAGCTTCACCTGGCCAGTTTTCGTGTTTAGCCCTTGCCTTAAAGGCCAGCTCCAGCATTTGATGCAACACATGGCCTTCCAAGCTATCGTAGGAGCAATCTTGATTCTTGTGCCTGAAGCCTTCACCAGCTCCATTGATTGGTTTGCTTGGCCCTGCGCCTGGGAAGAAACTGCTCCGGATAGGTCAGCGGCTGGTTGGCCACCAGAGCTTTGGCAAGGCCCCTGGAAGCGAAGTCATGCATCTAAGCGAACTGACCATGTGGGCGCATCGGCCGAGCTCTTGGCACATACTAGAGGCAATGATCGGCATAACTTGAAGTTAGCTTGGTTTTGAAACCCGCCTTTCTTCAAACAGCCGTGACACATGTGTTAGACTTTAAAACTCATACGGTCGGCACGCAACCACACGGTCAAGCATCCAGTACCGATCGCTGTTGTACCAACAGAACATACCAACACACGAATCTATGATGTAAATACATATGTATAAATCTGTACATATATACATACAGGTATGCGTTTGTATATACGTCGGTGTATATATATATATATGTAATTCTGAGAAATCGAGGGGTTTCTTTGGTACCCCGGCAACGCTGGTTGTGCTGCCCCTCGGAAAGACCACAGGGTTCCGAATATCCTCGAAACAGTACCCTCTCCGCAGGCTCGATCTTTTTATGTCTTTGCCGTGTCTTTCCACAATTGTATTATGTGTTTCTTGAGCCAAATGGCAATGTGTGTGTGTAATGTTTCATTATTGCATTGATGGCCCACAAACTACACACACCCCTCATTCTGAGGCATCTGCGCAGAGGCGTTGAAATTGTGGTTGGGGAATTTCATCCTGGGTCCAGAAGCCAGGCGATGCTAATGCCATGGGTTCGTTCCAAATGCCGCGTTGTCGGATTCTTACCAGTCCTTGCCACACAGCAATCATAAACTATGATTATCATCGTACAATATGACATTGGGTCGATGTCGAACCACCCCCCTCCAGAATTACTGTCGTGTCAGCTGCCACAATGTCTGCCTCTGGGGTAGAGCGACTCACGCAAGATTGTCTCTTGCTGTTTCCCACCAACGGGAAGCGAGCCTGAAGTGGAACGAAGGGAATCGACACATCCCGAAAAATCCGCGTCTGCATACATGGCCACTTGAATCTGATCTAATGGATCACCAACCCGCACGACCAACTTCTTCTTCTTGGACCAGTTGACGTAACACATCAAGTGATGCAGGCGCTTGTCGTCCTCTTTGCTCCATTTGGTAACATGACGCGCCAATGAGTTAATTGGTCGGAGCAAATCGAACCTGGCTAGACGTGCCGCATAAAGTAGTTTCGTGGGCACACTGGCAGCGTGTGGCGCACGTTCCCCTTGCACGAGCGTTTGCGCATCCGACTCGTCTGCCCCGCCTGGAATGAACGGGACATCGGGGTTGAAAGTGTGCTTACACCACGTGCGTTCGACTTGTTTGCCGTCGGTTTGCGGCCTTCGTGCTGGATGGTCCTTCGCATCCTCCGGAAGCGACGGGGTCTTGGCACCCTTCAATTTGACATGCATGGTTTCCAATGATATCCCGTACTTCTGAACAGACATCTCAAGAAACTCCTCCATATCATAGGTTGTCCTGTCGACTGGTACACCACCCAGCGCTACAGTTCCCTTAATCTGATTGCATCCCAGGACCAGCCATTTTGAAGTCATCCACGTAGACTACCAGCAGTAAGTTGAGTTCTTTATGGAATTAGACGGATGGCCATTCCGCCCCCGCACGCGCGAACCTCACTGCCCCTTTGGCAATGTCCTCCCAAAATGTCCGCCATACAGTGCCTTCACCATTCTGACACATGGTCATCGAAATTTATCCCAGCTTCCATCTTCCGGCCAACCCCCTTGGGAGCTCCACCCGCAAGGCAGGACCTTCAATGCAAGCCTGGATGTAAGCTTGGATAGCGCCGGCAACTTGAACCTCCCATCCTTCAACACACCGAAGTCAGCCCAGCGTGACGCCTCAAACGTTGCCGGACTATTGCCTAGATCATGCAAAATGGCATCGGCCATATCCTGATCCTTCACTTGATTTCCCAACAATACCACTCGGTACTTGAATTTTGTTTGTGGATCGTCGGCAGGCAGTTGGTCGTTCTTTTCCACCGTTATACCATGGGCCCTGGCGAAATGGACAACTTCCTGAGACGACGAGCCTCCGCTCGAACGTCATCGTGCTCACGTACGTTCTTCATATCAAATACGCTTTGTTTGTGCAGACCAGACCATTCTTTTCGAATAGCTTCGACAGCTTTAGGGTTCGAAAGCATTTCCTTCTTCCCCGCCGGCCTCGCATTGTGAAATCGCGGAAACTTCTCTTTCAACTTTTCTCTGTGGACATGGGTACACGGTACGCATGGCATCTTCGGAGCCCCAACTATCCGGCTCCAGATCTTCAATTGTGTCGACTTCCATCATTCCGACGTAACCTTCCCACACATCATCGTCATCCTTGTACCTGGTGCACGAGGCCGCATGAGCGTAGGGACTCTCTCGCCAGTATATCCAGACCATCAACCGCTTGTCACCTTCAGTAATTCTCTTGATCTGGTCCAGGTCGTCAAGTACATTTGTATCTGAACCCAGCGTTCTCGTGGTCAAGATTCTGTCAAACTTCGGCAGGCTCAGGACCCCAATTTCTTCACGGATATTTCTATCCTGAGCACCGATCTTCTGAATGCTCTTTAGGACCGTGTTGCGCAGCTTCTTGGCGTCTTTGGCGCTCTCTTTCGCTGCCGCAGCATTCTTGCCGTCTTTCGGCTTCTTGGCCTTGTCCTTCATCTTCTCTGCCTTCTTTTCGGTCTCTTGATGCTCCTTTCTAATCCCTCTTGCACACTCCCACACCATTCTGTCAGCGTGAGACATCTTCTTCCACTCCTCAGGGGACAGATGAGGAGGTGTAGAAGTCTTGCACGCCCTTCGCCCATCTATCCCAGCTTCGTAGGGAGTTCTTTGACGTTTTCCCCTTTTCCCCTTGTCATCGACATCGCCAGCTTTTTCTTCGCTAACGTGTTCGCATTCATCGATATATGTATCGACGATCGGAACCTCGGAACCGCCTTTGATCACCGTGAAATCTTCTCCCTTCTTCGGGCCAATGCTGATGCAATGAAGCACTTCGGCCGTATCGCTGTTGACAGTCCGAGCCCAGCAGGCATTGGGAATTCACCCTTTGCCCCTTTGTGCGCCGCGCTTTTACGTTCCGGGGTCTTGTTGTCCGGTTTGGCGGTTGGCTCGGCACTCTTCACATCTCCTTCGACGGCTGCGTCGACATCCCCAACCGTATCATTGACACCAAACCTTTCTTTGACTTCTTTCGATCGATCCTTGGTACTCCCTGCTCCACCATGCTGGTCGTCTCTGCCATCATCTCCGTTTCCAACGTCATCGTCACCCAGGAAGCCTTGATCAGAGCCTCAAGGTCCCCATTCACCCTTTCGAAGGTGCTCTGGGAAGGCAAGTGGGTGAACCATCACGACCTTATCCACTATATGAGGTAGACTCATTGGTGCGGATCGTCGAGGAATTTGTCAATACCAGCATCTTGCCACTCCATCTCATTCCGCTCTCGAGTTCAAAACCCGCGAACACACCCCTCATTGATCTGGGTGCGAACTTGTGAGTGTCTTCTCTCGTAGGGGAAGGTTTGAAATGGACATAGGCACCTAGAGGTATGCTTTTGCCACCGAAATGATCTCCGTGCATATGGTGCCAGGCGCTCTCACCGTCAACGATTTCAACGTTCAGCAGGCGACATGTCGAAGTCAGAGCAAAAGACCAGTAACATAGGCAATAATCTCCGTAAGCAACCCGAACCTTCCGACATCTGACAACCTCATCCGCGGAACCATCCGAAGTAGGATGCGCCATCCTTGCCCCAGAGTATATGTCTCGTGCCACGAAAACATTTGTGTCTGTCTCAAGTCCCAACTGTCCTACTCTCTCTCTGGTGTTAGGAAATCGAAGGGTGACAAGGTCCTCCCATTTCTTGAGTTGTTGCTTGAACGCACCCTTCTTGGTCTTGAAATGCCGCATCTTCGCTCTGACGTCTGCAAGTCACGGACGTGGTTCTCCCACAGATCACCGTCACTTTGCGTACTCGGCGCTGGCACCTTTCTTCCCGTGATCGTCGCTACAAAATCTTTCGGGAAACTCTTGGCTGCTCACATCACCATCGTCGTGTTCAACCCAGTCCCGGAACACCACGCTCTTTGTTTTCTTTCCTCCTTTCTTGGGGTAATACAGCTTGGCTTTCGGGGTTGCGGGTGCGCGTTCGGTCTCAGCATCGCTATCCACACTTTCCTCTTCACGACAGGTCGACTCTGCTTCGCTCTCGGAGTCCTCCCACAACGAACCTGTGGATATCACCGGCGCTGCCTTCGCCTTCTTCTTCCTTTTCTTCTTCTCAGACCCCGCTTCGCTCTCGGTGTCGGAACCCTTTTCCGCCGGCGCTGAGCTCTTCGGATGCTTGAATTTGCAGTCCTTTCCCTTCTTAAAGGTTCCCTTCTTCCAGAACGAGCAAAAACCATTGTTCTTGGGCCGGAAAGAAATGAAACTTACATGGAATGTTCTTTGTTCCAGCAGGGGAAGGACCTCTGGACTTAGAAGGCGACCTCCCCCGCAGCTTAGCCTTCTCCGTTAATTTCTTCTTGTCGGGAAGAACCGGTGCCAAATCTTGGGCATCCTTCGCTTCCGACTTTGCCTTCGGTTTAGGCTTCGTCTTTTCCTTGGGAGAGGGAAGTGCGTTGCCCAATCTGTGATCTTTGGGCGATTTCTCCTAATTTTCCTAGTTCTTTTCCTCCTTGGGCTTTGGCCCGCCGATCAATCATGTTGAGCAAATACTTATGCGTCTTCTCGGGATCACTTCGTTCCATGTGCTCATACAATTTCAAATCCAACTCCAATTCCTTCGAGTTCCCTTTCAGCTTTCGGTACAGCGTGTCTCTCAACTCATCCTCTTGCGGAACAGACTCCGGTTTGATCCCAGCAATGATTTCGAGCCATCATTGCTTGACATTTGCAATCTTCTTGTCACCCGGGTGTGTCAACTTGTGCAAATGTTCCACCCCGAAAACAAGGTCAAGTCTGTCGTACGTTCAAAAGCTCTCCAACACCCTGAGTATCATTTGTCTCCCTTTGATGCCCCTTCCGATTTTGATGCGCAACTTCACTTGCCTGATCTCCAGCGGATTTCATCATCTTATCCATGCTTATCACCAGTTTGCTGTCAACACCAGCGAATCTCGGACCGCCGCTGTCGAACAGACCCTCGATACTGGCTTTGGGGCTACAGGCCTCTGCAAGCCATGCTGACCAAACTTCACTATCAGCATCACCACATCTGCCAGGACATTCGACAGCAGCTTTCCTTTCCACATGTCGGGTTGATCGATTGTCGGCCACGACGGGACGCTGATCGTCTCTGCCTTCTCTCTCGAGATCTTAGTCTCAGTAGCCGCGTCGATAGAGGTGTTCGGCTTGAGCGATCCACGCCTTGACCTTGGTACGATTCCGGTAGGTGGTGTGGTCACATCCCCAAACTTGGGCAACGTAACGGATTGGTCTTTGACTAGCTCATCTGCAGCTCGGTCAATTCGTCAAGTTCATCCTGTACCTCGTTCCTGTGGTTTCTGAGTCTGTCACAAGTGCTACGCAGCTGTTCCAATTCTTCACCCCGAGTCTGAGCTATGGGTTCTGCCTTTTGAGCCTTTATGCTGTACTGACTCTGGGCCATGCTCTCGACCCATTTCACGTTCTTCTTCATCAGTTCAGCTCCTTTGCTATTTCGGTAGAGACCGGCTTCGGATAACAGATTAGAGGCCTCTGTCTCTTCTCGGTTTGCATGGCTCCCTAGTCGATCAATTTCCAGCCTGGCTTTGTTCTCAACATCGCTTAGTTGCATTCTCGCCTCACCGGTGATCTGAAGCTTCATAGCCTCAGCCTTCTGAGCGGCCAGCTTCTCGGCAGATCGAAACCATTCTTCCCTCGATTCACTCCCGGACAGGTGTTGTGTCTGATCCCTCAAGGTTTGGATCTGTCCATCTTTGTTGGTGACTATGTTGTTGTGGTACATCTCCGCCCCTCTCAACTTGGCCTGCGTAGTTGATTCTTCTTGTTTCATCGAAGACGATCGTTCTCATGGCTCAGCTTGGTCCGTAAATCGGTACCAGCGTTGACCATGGATTGATACTCACTGGTGGCTTCGAGCGCGTTCCGTAACGAAGCTGAGATCTCACTGTTCTCCGTTCGTAATTGTTGAGCCTCATTGTTGAAATTCTAGGCCGTTGCCTCAAGCTCATTTGTTCAGCTGGTCCATCGCCAAGTTGTATTCATCTGTCATCCACCCATGAACATGTGCAACTTGGGATTCCCGGGTATGATTCATTCTCTCAAGTCCCATAATTCTTTGCAGGCTACCCGCCTCATCTGATTCCAGGTTCTTTACAAATGATCGCAACGATGCACATTCCTCCTTCAACGCATTGTTCTCGCCATGCTGCTCAGCAGCTTCGCTCATCTGTACTTCCGCCTTCCTTTCCCTTGGGGAGGATGACTTCTCTCCCTTACGAGATTTACGGATTCGTGTCCGCCCATCATCTTCTTCTGACGGCACTCTCGACCGGGAGGAAGCCCTTGCTCCCATGGTCTGATCAACGCCGGTACCACGGCCGGCTGATTCCGGTGTCCCTTGAGATGAAATTCCGGCAGGTGCCGCGAATGTAATCGAAAATCTCCCATCGGACATTGTCGCGTATGTTGCGCCACTTGGCAATGTATATCGATTGATTCTATATGAAGCTGGGTTCAAGACCTCTGGCTTCGAATCAATCTTTGTGGACAAGCCCTACGCAACTGAGAAACCGAGGGGTTTGCTTGGTACCCCGGCAACACTGGTTGTGTTGCCCCTCGGAAAGACCATGGGGTTCCGAATGTCCTCGAAGCAGTACCCTCTCCGCAGGCTCGATCTTTTTATGTCTTGGCCGTATCTTTCCACAGTTGTATTCTGAAAGGACACATGCGTTTCTTGAGCCAAATGGCAATGCGTGTGTAATGTTCCATTATTGCATTGATGGCCCATAAGCTATTCACAAATTAAGTATATATTATATATAAGCATGTTGCCTTCCCAATTTGTTGGCAGCGTCCTGCTGGGCATTGCGTTGAGTCTGCTCCACCCGCAGGATCTTTGGCTCAGGCATCTGGAACCCTTCCTGGGCGACTCTTCCCTCTCTCATTCTTGAAGCTGACCCGTGCCAAGCGGGCGAAGCTTGCGATTGGCATGCAAGCAGCTAAGGATTCAGAGGTGCCCTTTCGACCCAGGATCTATGCAGGCACAACCCTTTTGGTGTATGCTTTTCTTGGGGCATGCCGACAACACTGCCAGCAAATCTTTGGAACAAATATAGCTTGCAGCTAGCCTTCATCAATCTTGGGTATCACTTCTCCAGACTCCTAAGCATAACTTCACGCTTCTAAATTCACTGCGGCTGATGGGATTGCATTTAGCATAGCTGCCCGATCCAAGCCAACACCGTATGTGCGCCCTTTCTATGAATTCATCGCAGCTTGATTTTATCTATGTGTCGCGAGCTGCTGCGAGGAGCTTGTCTCTCATGCCCGCATGCCCGCGAGAACGAGATCGTTGCGGCACACAAGTTGCAGGTTCTTGTGGATTCAGATTCAGCCACCCGCCCCAGTGCAGTATAGGCGTCGGGCGTTGGCGTTGGCGGCCGGTCGTCAAAGGATTCCATCACCTGGACGGCAATGCAAGGCTCCTGCTCCTGCTGAATCTAGAAAGCAAAGTTCGGAGCAAACGCCAACTGAGAGGCCTGGGAAATAAACCTCTCTGTGTTATGAGGTCTTCCACGTGCTCCCAAGCTCTGGCATCTTCAGCCAAGCATCTTCTCGGGCCGTCGCTCCTGCAAAATATAACATGCTTGGCTGGCACATCGCAAATGCAATCGCGGCAGCACCCTGTCCAAGGTATCATTGTGGTTCAAGTGGGTCGATTGGAGGGGGCATGCATGTACATTTTTGGCCTGTGCAACCGAAGGCAAACTCACCCCTGCATACAATTCAGCCGTCTGGAAGCCGTGCTATCGATGCCACACGAGCAGCGACTTAACTCGTTTGGTTTGGTTCCACAAGAAGTCTAGTTGTTGTCAAGCTCTGGTCACCTTTGGCAGGCGCAAAGTTCACAACTAGCACGATTCCTCCTCGCCCGGACTCTGGAGTGTCTGGTGGAGACGGTGGAGCCGCCACCTGCTGGCCAGCGATGCTCAAAGGGTGCGAAGCTTTGGTCTCCCCAGGTCAGGATGGTTTTATGCCTGATCAATTCATGTTGAGATCCCAAAGTGTTCCAAAACGTCTGAGATAAGCTTCACTACCGTCGGAGTCTGCAACTCTTGGGCAGCGGTGGACTTGCCTCCCCCTGATGTTCTGCAACGCTTGCCAGCCTCAAAGCGAAGCCCGCCGCGCAAAGCAGCGGCAGTTGGCTCCTCGCGCCGTGCCACTTGAGAAGGGGTGGCCACAAGCAGAAACTACACCTAGCTTTCATGAAAGGCTGGATCTGTTTCCCTGCTTCCAGCAATCATTGAAGTTTTTGGGAGGGTTTTGGAAGACTGCTTTGCTTTCGGGGAAAAGGGTGCGTTTTCCAGCCAAAACGCCTGGAATTGGCCAGCCCAACGCGCACCCCGAGTTCAACTTCGAGAGCCGATCGCCTCGCCCAAGAACTCGGCCAGCGCTGTTGGCACTGGTGCCGGGCAAGGCCTTGGAGGGTCCATGGCAGGGGTCTCCATCCTGCGAACAATTGCCAGCAGTTTGTTACGAACGTCTGAGCTTTGTGTTTTCAGCGACGAACTCATCTCTCTCAATCATCAAGTTGCTTCAAAAACGGAGAACTTTGAGGATGACTTGCAAACAGGGCTGAAGAGTTTTACCAGCTGCTCTTTGCCCAAACACTCAACGCACCTTGGTTTATTCCACAACCTTCTGAATGCTGTTTGGGCTGGTCAAAACAACTGGTCCAAACAACTGGTTCGCGGGGGTGGCTGAGTTTCACGCTGCGAAGCCACGCACCAACCCTTCGCTGCGTCAAGCTTCGAGGCACTCTCGGCCGCAGCTGGTGCCGCAGCTGGTGGCGCAGCGAGCGCAGCTGGCTGCTTCATGGCCGCCCTAGCTGCCCTCGGCAAGCCACCCGGGGACTGACTTTTCTCCTCCAAACGGCACAATTTATTCACGCATTTTTTGTTGGAATCGGTCACAGCCATCCATGTCGTTCTCCTAATATGGCAACTGGAGAGACGTGATCCGGAGAAGCTCCCGGAGAATGTGATTGGGGACCCGAATCCCGAATCCCGAATCCCGAATCCCAACTCCGGGCCGCTGAGGACCCAGGCACCCAATCCCGAATCCCGAATCCCGAATCCCGAATCCCGAATCCCGAATCCCGAATCCCGAATCCCGAATCCCAACTCCGGGCCGTTGAGGCCCCAGGCACCCAATCCCGAATCCCGAATCCCGAATCCCGAATCCCGAATTCCCGCATCCCGAATCCTAATTCCGGGCCGTTGAGGACCCTCCCGAATCCCGAATCCCGAATTCCCATTCCGAGCCCTCGGCTCTCGGACAGCCAATCCCGAATCCCGAATCCCGAATCCCGAATCCCAACTCCGGGCCGTTGAGGACCCAGGCACCCAATCCCGAATCCCGAATCCCGAATCTCAAATCCCGAATCTCAACTCCGGGCCGCTGAGGACCCAGGCACCCAATCCCGAATCCCGAATCCCGAATCCCGAATCCCGAATCCCGAATCCCAACTCCGGGCCGTTGAGGACCCAGGCGCCCAATCCCGAATCCCGAATCCCGAATTCCCGATTCCCGAATCCCAATTCCGGGCCGTTGAGGACCCAGGCACCCAATCCCGAATCCCGAATCCCGAATCCCGAATCCCGAATCCCGAATCCCGAATTCCCATTCCGAGCCCTCGGCTCTCGGACAGCCAATCCCGAATCCCGAATCCCGAATCCTGAATCCCGAATCCCGAATCCCGAATCCCAACTCCGGGCCGTTGAGGACCCAGGCACCCAATCCCGAATCCCAAATCCCGAATCCCGAATCTCGAATCCCGAATCTCAACTCCGGGCCGCTGAGGACCCAGGCACCCAATCCCGAATCCCGAATCCCGAATCCCGAATCCCAACTCCGGGCCGTTGAGGACCCAGGCACCCAATATCCCGAATCCCGAATCCCGAAGTCCCGAATCCCGAATCCCAATTCCGGGCCCTTGAGGACCCGGGCATCCAATCCCGAATCCCGAATCCCGAATCCCAAGTCCCGAATCCCGAATTCCCATTCCGAGCCCTCGGCTCTCGGACAGCCAATTGGCGGGCTGCGTTCCGCCCAACCCCCCCGCCTCTGTTTGACCCCCCCCCCCCAACCCCCCCGCCTCTGTTTGGCGGAGCCCGGCGTTCTTCGTCGTTCTTGTTCAGTTCTATCACGGGGGGAGGCTGCGCCCCGCCCAACCCCCCCGCTATGTTTGGCGGAGTTGTTCAGTTCTATCATGGGGGGGGGCGCAGCCCCCCCAACCCCCCCGCCTATGTTTAACGGAGCCCGACGTTCTTCGTTGTTCTTGTTCAGTTCTATAATGGGGGGGGCTGCGCTTCGAAATTAATCCGCCATCAAACAAAACATACACCTCAAATCTACTTAACCAAAAATTAACCCACTAATCACCTCACCACCACCCCCCCAACCCCCCCGCCTAGGGGAGGCGCCCCCCCGCCTATGTTTGGCGGGCTGCGCCCCGCCCAACCCCGCCGCCTCTGTTTGGCGGAGCTCGGAGTTCTTCGTGGTTCTTGTTCAGTTCTATAATGGGGGGAATGGGGGAGGCTGCGCGCCGCCCAACCCCCCCGCTATGTTTGGCGAAGTTGTTATTCTATCTATTGATATTGGGGGGGCTGCGGCCCCCCCCAAACCCGCTTATGTTGGCCGCCCAACCCCCCGCTATGTTTTTTTTTGCGAGTGTCATGCTATCAATGGGGGGGCGCACCCCCCCCAACCCCCCCGCCTATGTTTGACGGAGCCCGACGTTCTTCGTCGTTCTTGTTCACCCAGAGGATCCAGGATCAAACAAAAATCAACCTTTTCCTATAAAACATATCAATCTTTTTGGAGATCAATCTTTGCATTTTATAGCTGTTTTATGTGTTCCCAATCACATCAAAGAAGATCAATCTTTTCCTGAGAAAATATATAAAAATATCAATCTTTTTTTGCAAAATATCAATCTTTTTTGCACAAAAACTTGACATGTCCAAGCACTTAAGGATCTCATTTGCCCTTCTGCAGGGCACATGCAGCACACCACTTCTTTTTTTGCCTGGCGCAATATGTTAACGTTCTGTGTCACAGCAGCCCCTTCCAGAACCTGACATACATCATCAGCCGATACTTTTTAAAGATCTTAACAGAAAGCAAAGTGGCTGTTGCGCCAAACGATGCTGAGTGTGCAAGCTTGCTGATTCTGCCCACATAGTCTTCAGCCTTAAAGCACCATGCGTGTCTGGGATTGCCAAACCTGAAAGCAAGGGCCAAATGCTTGGCCATGTGAAATTTGATCACTGTGTGCCAGGTGAAGTCATTGGACCTGTGCAGCTGTAGCCACTTGTAATGCCCTAAAAAGGAAGTCATCAAAAAGGCTGCCTGGCAGGCTTCTTGCTCACTTGGAAACCTGGGAGCTGCATCCATCAAATCTACAAAAGCTGCCATGTCTTCAAAGATAGCCAGGATCTTGGAGGAGACTTCATCTCCTTCATGGAACTCCACTGCCAGTTGTGCAAACAGATGCACCAATGCTTTGCATTCAGCTTTTGCCCTAAGGAATGGCTGGGTCTGATGAGGCTTGTCGGGGCTGGTGAACATGGATAGCTTCAATGTGGGCAGCCTGCAGTCCACTTCAAAGTCCTTGTAGAGCGACTGTATTTTTTGCCAAATATGTTTGACTTTGTCCCTTATGCTTCTTCCTGGCACAGCCTTGCAAGTGTAGCACCAAAACTTCAACGCATTGCCCATACAATGAGAAAGAACACCTTTGCAAAACAGGATGTGCATTGCATCCTGTGCAATATTGAAATGGGATACTCCATGAATGGTAAAGAGTGGGTGTGCTGAGATCCTGCAATTCATTTCTTCTTGAGGTAGCCTCCAGCCTTCAATGTCTTTGTCCAGGTTGCTCTGCTGCTGAGGGCCAGTCATCTTACACTCCCAGCAGGGCTGTGCGTTCATCCAATGTGGCAGCTTCAGGACATTGGCAAAAAATTCTTGGTCACCCATGACCTGCCAGATTGTAAACCTGTAGTTGTGAACAATGTCAGTCTTTCCTGCCTGCAGCTTAGAAAATGAAGGAACAAGATGTGACCACAGTGTCTCCCAGGTTGCACTCACTGCACAATCTTTGGGGAAGGCCAGCAGCAAGAGAGATGAGCTCAATGATGGGCCTGAATTCAAGACAGCCCCAGGAATACACCATCATAGTTTTGCCATCGGCATACTCCACACCATCTCCATGAACCCAGAGTGGTAGGCTCTCATGCTTTAAGCTGGATTCCTGCATGAGTATGGTAAGTCTGGGGTCATCAGGCCTAACATTGTTCCAAGACTCTAGTAGGCCATCTGGTTGGAAAATGCTCTGGAAATGCTCTGGGCTCTCCTGCAATGCTACCACAGTGTTGCAAGGGTCAAAAAAAGCAACGTCAGTGGTCTCTTCCTCACTTGTCCTGGGGTTGGAGCAAGGGTAGTTGGCTCTGCAAAGGATGCCTTGCTTTCTCAAATCCCTGGACACATTGTTGGGGTGTTGTCCCCAGGAGCCACAGCTGGCCACCTTGGCCACGGCAGGGTGCTTCAGCCCATCCAGAAAAGCACTGTGTGCTATTTTCTGGCAAGCAATGGCAGAGATGTCACCAAGAGTCCACAGCCAAAGCAAGTGAGTCTGCAACACTGATTCTGAATCTGTGTTGGCTGCTTTGGGGTCGCGCAAGCACCCCAGGCTTTGCTTGTGTCAAGAGACGGCAAGGTGACGTCCCGTGGGACGCTGTCCACCGAACCCTCCAGCTGTAAATACCAACCACGTAGAAAGGTGTATACGGTCAAACCGTTATAGCCGAACCCGTGCAAATGTTGTAAGGGAGAAGGAATAATAGTTACAACAGTGTTCCTGACAAATGCAGCGCAAGCGAAGTGTTTTCCGCTCTCAATTGCCGATCACGTATGAACGCAGCTACACATAAGATCTTGAACCTCACTTGTGACTTGAGCCAAATGGCAATCAATGGAACCTTGTAAGCAACACAAACACGGACCTCAGAACAGCTTCCCAATTTAGGCACGGGGCCAGGAGGGTTTTAACATCCCCCATTTGGGTCGCATTGTTCATCATGCGGTCCAAACACCACAAAACGTTCCACTGGCCACGGCCTCAGCTACGAAATTGTGTCGTGCACTCTTTCACTCGCTATAGCTACACCGTTCATTCATTGTGAAACCTGCCGGGTTCGATTGAAACTGGAACGTGCATCCGCAAATCGTAGCACATTCCCATATGCAGATGCAAGGTACGCACTACCTCACGTCATCACGCAACCATTGAACATCCCAGCTGCCGCATTTGCGCATCGCGCAGCCGTCATCCACAGAAATGGGTTGGCCATAGAAGTTCACAGCAGCGCATGGTCGTAAGTAATCTGCATATCACCGGCAAAGAAATATTGGTGAGCAATCAATGCAAAACATAGCCATTCCAGGTACCATGAATAATATATATAATGAAAAGAAATCATCCATGAGGTAATAGTTCCATCCATGAATATCCGGAATGTCATAGCCGTCGGAATATGTAAATGTATACACATCCATTCATCTTGGACGCATGAAATCATATCATGATGTAGAGTCGTTCCATCGCAATAACATTGATGAGACGCAAGCAGTAGATGGGGACTAGCCCACATCGTGCCGCAATCAACATCTGCATTACGCATACCTGTCTCCAATGGACAGTCTGTGGGTACGTCGACGGAACTCTTCGTCCAAAGTCTTTTGGGCTTCTCGCGCCCGGACACACTTCTTGTGATGATCTTCTGGTATCCAATGCCCCATTCGGAGGCACCAATCCAGCAGAGGTGTGT